TTTAAACTTATTTTTTAAAAGATAAATAAAAACTATATATTTTCGTCTATACCAAATAAACATTAAATATGTCACCACATTGGATAGAAACTTAGTTGATGACATTTAGAATATTTCAATGACTTAATTATACAATGTTAAAATTTTGGACAGATTCATTTAATGATTTGGAGAGGTGAATGTGTTAGTGAATTTATCATTTATGGGACATACCTCATGTGATGTTGACTTGTTAATTTTCATTACTCACTGGTATTGTAATCACCAATTTCAAAATGATGTCTCAATCACTATTCTGACCAATTAGAAAAAGAGAAAGGAATGCAAGAAAGAAAAAGAAAAAAAAAGAAATGCAAGTGAATGAATTTTTTAAATGAGATAAAAATATTTAATTGGTCGAGACAGAGATGAAGACACTATTTTAGAAGAGGGCCCTCCTCTCCGATATTTATTTTCCTTTGTTCTAATTTTATTTAATTTGTACTTTTTTAGGCTTGAATCTTAGAGGGCCAATAGTTCAACTTTCCTCCTCGGTATTTTAGGAGGTTGAGTTTTATATACTACTACATCATTTATTATTAATGTTTAATCATTATTAACTCTTCAAAAAAATAATACAAATTATATAAATGATGGATAATATATTTAATGTATATAAATCTTTACATTGATAGTGTATAGATATCACACTCATATTATATTTGAATTTTGAAATTTGACTTGTATAGGACTTTGGAAAAGTGAGTGTGATATTAAATTTATCCTCTTAGGGTTTTACTTGATGTACTTATTTTTTCCCAAATGTCATGCCAATTTTGCACTCATGACAGCCAAGAAAGCTTGAGAGAACTCATTGGTAAATGCAAAATTTAGTGATATATTTATGTTAAAAATGAGATCAATTTTTTTAAGATTAGCAATATGGAATATCTTTGATTATGCCAAATAAAACTAAAACTAAAATGTCAACCTTATTGGTTGTTTCTTCTCTTGAATGATATTGAGGTATTAAACATTGATGACAACTAAAATTCCATTTTGAATTTATATTTCCACTTTTTCATCCACTTTCTCCTTGAATATCAAAAAATATTCCACCCATCCCCTATTTTTCCTGTATTTGATAACTACCATGGTAATCCCAAAATAATATAAAAATAGAGTAAATTACATTTATTTTCTCCGAGTTTTAGTAAAATTATATAAAATATCTTTTTTTTAAGAGAAATAAAATGTAATTTCTTAAATAAAAAATGGTGATTGGTGTATTAAGTCAAATAAAATATGGTATATTAGGAACGCAAATCAAAACAATATAAGAGTCTGTGTTTATTCATTTATTTTTGGTTTGTTAGCATCGATAATTCTAAGGAGATGTTTAAATCACTCTTATACTATATTATAACTAAACAAAATAATCAATAGACACCGACTCTTATACTATTTGGATTTGTATTCACAATATATCATATTTTGTTTCACTTAATTACAATCGTCGCTATATTTTGTTTAAGAAATTACAATTTATTTCTCTTACATAGATAATCAATGTAATATTATATATAATTAGGGATGATTTGTGTAAATTTAAAAAAAGAATGAATAATTTATATAATTTCACTAGAATTCATGATATCAATACAGAAAAGTGTGTATTTTGCACAGCTTCTCCTAGTAGTAGAATCTCATTGGTTATATCAACACAAAAATCCATATTTACAATCATTCATTTTACGTAAAAGAATAAAAAAGGGTAGTCCAATACACAAAAGGAAAATATATTTACGTAACATTTATCGGTATGGAGAAACATAACAAACTGTCACCAAAATCAATCCCTAACCAGAAACTACATACATTCACTATAATCAAATTGATAATCACTCATTACCAAACTTTCCTGAAAGTTGTCTTGCACGAACCCTTACTTGCAATCTAATAATTACATTCATACATTGCATTGCTATTTGTGATTGTTTCCTTACGAAAACCCCTCTAACCAATGCTTGTAGCTTCACCAAACTTTTTAGAGCTTCGAATGCTCGTCTCGCCTGTTGAATAATCGAGTCAAGTAAACACGAATCATTCTTTATTCTAACTAAATTATTCTACATCGATTTTATAGTTGACGTATCTGACCCAATTTTGAATTGGGTCAGTTACTTCACCTATGAAAATCATGAGAAAATATATAAATTATGACGGTAGTTTGGATTAACATACGAGATGACCTGAAAATAAGCTTGGATTTTAAGTGCAGCGACATGTTCCACTAGGTTGTTGGTGGAACATATATTTTATAAGTGACGTACCTGACCCAATTCTGAATTACGTTGGGTCAGTTACTTTACTTATGAAGATCAGGAGAAAATATATAAATTATGATGTTAGTTTAGATTAACGTACGAGAGGATCCCGTAAATAAGATTGGATTTTAACTACGGCGACATGTTCCGCTAGGTTGTTGGTGGAACATGTCTACATCGATATTTTATAAGTGACGTACCTCACCTAATTCTAAATTACGTTGGGTTAGTTACTTCACTTATGAAAATCAAGAGAAAATATATAAATTATGATGTTAGTTTAGATTAACGTACGAGATGACCCCGAAAATAAGCTTGGATTTTAACTGCGGCGACAACTTCCGCTAGGTTGTTGGTGGAAGTTTGTATAGGCAAATTGAAATCTTCTTTGTTAAGTATAGCTTCATCACTTTGATTGGTGCAAATGCTTGTACGAGGTAGAATGATGTCTTTATTGGATGATCTGAGGAACTTTCTTCGAACAATTCTTAACCATTTTTGTGATGCACCCATTTTAATGTTTGTTGGTTTCTTATGTCTTTCCTTTGAAATGGAACACATAAAGATGTTATTGATTTAAATGTATCATGCTCTCAATGCTTTTGGAGGAAGTGATGTAAAAATAAAGGGAAGAGTTGTGGGCAACATGTTTGGTCTCATATGAAAAATAAATATAATTCTTTATGGGAAGAGATTCACTTGCTCGAAAAAATATTTTGGAAAATCCAATCATTTAAATTGATGATTATATCTAAATTATTGGATTTACCAAGAATAAATGACTAAATGTGAAATATATTTTTTCCACTTACTTTTGGAGTAAGTAGATCTCCTCACTTTCTTTATTGCATATTATACAAATGTAAGAATTCTGAAAAGTAAAACGTGATAGGATGATTTCTTTTCTCACCATTTATGTGTGAAAGTATTGCTATGACTGCTCAACCAACTCAGGGAATTAAGTAATCTGTCCTTATCAGAAATTCTTCTCACTAGTTTTATGTGAAAGTATTGGTATATGGGCTGGTGAGCAAGATCCAACCATACCCACTTACATGGTTTGCTCTGAACATGATAAGTCTAGAATGTAGTCAGGTTCATTGGGTCTACGGTCAAGTTCAAGTTTAAAAATTAGATCTGTTTAATATTTAGGTCCGAGTAAGGGCAAGCGTGACTTGGCCTGTCATATGGTCAACCATTCATCATGTTTGTATGTATCTATTTAACTGTAGGCAGAAAAATGACATCTCTTTAGTCCAAAATATCATTGATTCTCTAATTTTTCATTATATATATATATTTTACATTCTAAGTGAAAATTGAACCAGCTAGGATGTTTGTTTTAAAATCCAACAAGTGGAAATTGTATTAATATTGTTGGGTGTATTCAAGTGTGAAATCTTACATTAGATATGAGATGGGTAAAAAAGTTTATAAGTAACATTTCACTTGTGCCTTTCTACTTTTCTCATGCCCCAATAAAATTGGAATTGTCCAGTGGATAGAGGCTCTCCAATCTACTAGAATATTAATATAACAGGAATACATAAAATAACCAAATGATGAGTAACATTAAACAAACAAGAGTTTAAGAAGTTATGCATATTGCACTCGTACATGTTTCCTTAGTTTTTATATTATCATTATAAAATTTTCCTTATGACAAACCCAATATGTGATACCTAATCATTTTGAGCTTTAAAGTTCTCCAATATAAACATGATTGCATTCCCATGAACTCTTCCTAGAAAAGTTTGGTTAATCTACAATAACTTTACATCCGCAATAAGACACAACAATATTTTATTTAATTATTTATGAATATGATTGTTGATATAAATATGAGGAATCACACCACAATTTGAACAAAAGTAGCCTTTACCTATTTGGTTACAAGATAAAATTAAGGGGAGGGATCCAGTTACTTGGAGTAAGTGAAAAAGACTTACTTCACATCTTAGTCATATAATCTTGGAAAATCTAATGGTTTAGATGTACTTACCAATTCAAACAATTGTATTTCCCAAGAATGAATAAACATGATGTGAAGTAGGTTTTTTTTTACTTACTCTTGGAATAAGTGGATCCCTCTATCTTTCATACCTAAAATGATGAGTACTTATTAAAAAAAATGTATCATTGGTAAGAGAAATACTTAATTATTAAATTTTAACTTAAATACATTTTTAATCAATCAAAAACATCGGCACATGAAGCGACACACTTTTGTGGGATAACAAATATGATCGACTTAAAAATGGGTGAGAAATAAGTCAGTCTCACTCCCACCTATCCTCTACACACTCCAAATTGCTATGCTATCATTTTTCATCTTATCTTAGTTTTTATTTGGTAATACTAAATACATCTCTCATCCTAAGGGTAAACAACTAATCATTTTGAGGTAAGGAATTAACATTTTCGAGGCTGTGAACACCCAATTTTATCCGGCTTAATTGTGAAATCAAATAATAGTTGCAAATATGAACATTAGAACATTTATCCGGCCTAATACAAATTGCAAATATGAACATTTTAGATTGAGTTCTATCAACTTATATATCCCTTCACATTCAACTCCTAAATGATAGTTGTAAAAAGACATTTGTTATTGAATCTAGGGTACCTCTGCTACATTAAAACGGGTCAAAGAATGAAATAGACCATGGCCATAAATACATATCTTTACATTGTGTTAATTCCAATTCAGCGGAACCTTCTTTCAATACAAGCATATAGAAATTCAATTACAAGATACTTGATCAATGTAGTAATTTTGCAAACCTTTCCTTCAGCATATCAATCTCTATTCCAACAAATTTTCCTAGTAATTATTGGACAACAACCATATAAATATTCATTATTTAACCCACTAAAAGAGTGCTTTTGATTCAAATACATACATACTGGCTACATTTCATTATCTTATCAGAACACAATAGAGCAAAAAGGGTTTCATAGAGAGATACACATACATCAATTCTGAATATATTTATACTTATTTGGTATACATCATATAAATACATACATTTAGTAGATTACAAACGTAATAACACAAAGCAACATGGTAATGAGTTATGCCCAAATCTATTTTCATATACACATTACTAATCAATTCACACAATAAAAACTAAACACAATTTCAACATAGAAAGGGTTAGAGTTGATTACCGAATCCATTCTAAGCTGTGAGTTGTTTAGCTTTAGGTGTGAGGATGATCCATCATCAATTATTAAAGAATAAGAGAGAAACGAAAAGAGAGAAGATGAAGAAGAAGAAGAAGAAGGATTTAGGATTATCAATTATTAAATAATGGTTACATAAATTAAAGAAATAAATAGTAGAGAATGATGTTGTATTGTTGCTTAAATTCCTCAACAAATTTTGTGACTTAAATTATCAATTTTGTGTGAAATGTAGTGTTATATATGGTACTATATTGTTATTATGTTAGTGTTATATGTGTTACTACTTAGTAAATTATTTTTTGTCTAGATGATTTGAAACATATCTTCTAACTTTTATATTACTTAGTTTGAAACTAACATACATCATAAATTGTTATATATGTTACTAATCGTAAATTGTAATGTTATATATATATATTACTATTATATATTATTACTCATGGTGAATTATATTGTTATATATGTTAGTAATAGATATATGTGTTATTAATTGTGAATTATATTATTATATATGTGTTCATTCATTTTTTTCATAGATTACATAATTATTAAATGAATTACTAACAAACAATTATGATTTTCAATATTTCTACTCATCTATGTATGATTCATATTTTATATAATAATAATAGTGTTTTTTATTTTATGGATAAATAATGTATCTTCTAGTACATTTTGAAATGTTAATTAATGCAAGATTTAAAAAAAAACAAATAGGAAAATCGTGGAAGCGAACCAAACCATTCATTAGCGGTTCGGTTCAGTTCATATAATAAATTTTGCTGTTAATTAAGGCAAATCAAACCATATATTTGTAATCGGTTCAATCACTTCACTGAAATAAACCAAAAACCAAAGTGAATCATACTTCTACCCTCTATTAATAAAAACATACATACAGTTGAATTCATTCTTATTTGCTCTCCATGCGTTTTCTCTAATTCCCTTTAAATAATGAGTATTTTTTCTTGTAAATCATATTTTATTTTATTATGATATAATAATCAGATCTATTTATTATAAAATGACATTGATATTGGCAAGCTTTCTTAATATATAGTAAATTTTAGGTTTGTCCCCCAACAGACTATAATTTTAGGATTCTCAATTTAACTTTACAGCAAAGATAGATTATGGTTCCTAGAAAATAATTTTGTATACCAATTTGCATCCTTAAAAATTAATAAAATTAAAATGGTCTCTATTAATATTAAATATAAGTCAAATTATTCAAGAGAGTATTTGCATTTCCATGAAGTGGGTATTGACTTCTTTTATTGTACTTCAGAGTTGAGATAACAAAAGAAAGTATTTGCATTTCCCTTGTATTTCCAATGATTTAGATTACTCACTAATTCGATTTTACAAAAAATGAATGATTATGACTTTGTTTTGCATCCCTACCCTTAATATTTAGTAGTTGATTACTTGTTTTTACTCCTCCCCATACCCTTATCCCATACTCTAATGGTTGAGAATTGAATTCAGTGTTCATTTTTGACACCCTTCATTTCACTCTACATTCAACATTCAATCCTCTTTTAGGGTTAACATTACTCTTTGTATGTCATTTCTTGTTTTATTTGTCTTCCTATATATCATATCCACTCATATTATTGGTTGCTCTTGTGTTGCACTCTAAAAGATAGGAACTGTGACTTACTGTATTACATATCACATCTTTAAGGAACCAATCTTACTTGGTCACCGTGATGTCACGAGTTCAAATTCTAGAAACAAACTTACAAGATAAGGCTGCATGTATCTAGTAAGTCTGAGATGATAGATATATGCAGTCTTGCACCCTCGTAAGCAAAGAGGTTGTTTCGAGACAAAACATTGTCATCCTTTAATTTGATGCTAAGTTTCGTAGATAACATTGATGCAATGATTCTTGCTTCGTAATTACACATAGTGACACACTGCTGCTGGCAATTAAGAAATTATATAGTGTAGACACAACAATCTTGACTCTCAAACAAATGCGGGATGCGTGACTGCTCCCCTCCTAACAAGTGTTACTCACAACCTTTGACCTTTTCATCTATCTGGGGATTTAGTGGGCCTTACACGAGTCCATTTTTGTTTTAAGATAAGTGCAATTGACATTTTCCAAGAGCAAGTAGGAAACTTTATTTCTTTGAAAATGGTATGACATGTTTCATGTTATATAGTTATATCCTATGACATGTTTGTGAAAATGCTTAACAGAGATGGTTTTCTTGAGTTGGGGTCGCCCATCTTCTCAACAACAAAAGGCTTGCATCCACAAGTAATAATACCATAATATTATTTCACTTCTTTAGTCTTTACTCTTTACCATTAAATTTTGACACATTTCGAATTGCATTTTATATTGCTCATTTTCCTCCCTATATAATTTTCAGGTCGGGTACTTTCAACTATGAAGATAAATACAAAGGAGCTACTGCTAAGTCAATGTCTTCCCTTAAAGATGATAAGGGACTCTCCAAAGATGGGTTTTTACTAAATAATGTGCGAGTTTTGGTCGGTTCTGGTGTTGACACTTTTGAAAAGGGCAAGAATGCTCTCCGTAGTTGGAGGTATGCTATGCTCTCATTAATCGTGTCTGTGAGTTACTTTAAGGTTACACGTGGATTGATGGAAATGGGTGGAGTTAATTTGGCTAGGTCGAACTCAACCCCAAAAGCTAGCTCAAAAAGTGAAGGATGCTTTAGCGTTATAATTACTGTATTCCCATTGAATGTGGGGCATCTTAATACACTCCCTCGCGCCCAACACTAGAGAATTGCAGCATTAAGTTTGCATGACTTAGACAACTGCGGGTTGGCCCGACATTGTGTTTCGGTTAGACTTATAAGTAGTGGCTTGACTGTATTGCCATCCAATGTGAGACATCTTAACACACCTTTCACCTATTAGTTAGCTTTTGAGGTTCAGTTAGGCCTAGCCAATTTAACATAAGGAATGGTATGTGACGATATTGTTTCACTGTTTGGTTTGTTTAAAATATAGGATGGAATGGACATGATTTTATTTCCTCCCAATTTAGTGGTATGAGAAAGAATGAAATGGAACCAACTAATACTTCACTATCCATACTGGTTTCATAACTAAGTTTATTTCATTCCATTACATTTCATCCATCATTGAATAACCAAACATAGTAAAATATACTGTATATAAAAAACATAACCAAGCCTTAGCCCCACAAGGAAGGGTCGCCATTATATTAGTAAAATATACTGTATGTATACATATTTTATATGGGAAATTCCTTGCAGGCATTTTGGATTGAATTGGGCATTTGTTGATCCAAAAACACCAATTCAACAAGGCGTGAAGTTTTGTGTTTGTGTGAAGGAATTACTGCCATGGGTCATGATGCCACTTCAGGTTGTGTATGTAAATGAAACTAGCACTGCCAAAAATCGCGTTGCCTCCTTCGGTTTTGGAAGTGGAACTCTTCATGGTCACTTACTGGTTAGTGTTTGTTCCCCCCTCTTTATGTTTTTATTTTCCTCTTCCTCTTGTTTGTTTGGGTTCTAATTGAGAAATTGAAGATACTTTGTGAATTTAATTTTCTTATGCAATACCTTAACTTCAGTCAGTAATCTCCAATACTGTAGAAGAGAATATGCATTTAGTGTTTGTCTGTTTATGTTTGCTTATATACTTCTGAGAATTTTTACATATACAATCTTCAGATTTAATTATGGACCTGTGCATTGTCACAAAAGAGGATTTTTAGTTTTCACTGAAATCCACTTGCAATCTAATAGCTCTGCGGTCTGTACAGTTGTATTTCCTCCTCTGTTCACTAGATTTAAGTACCTTGGATGAATCATACAAGATGAAGGGGAAATTGACGGAGATGTGAACCATATGATTCAAGCGGGTTGGATGAAATGGCCGAGTAATTCAAGTGTCATCTGTGATAAAAAAGTACCACTTAAGCTTAAGAGAAGTTTTACCGCACAGCTATAAGACTTGCAATGTTATATGAGACTGAATGTTGGATGTTAATATGTCAACAGGAGAATAGACTATATAGCAAAGATGAGAATGTTTTGTTGGACGAGTGGACACTCTAGACAAGATAAGATTAGAAATGAATGCATTAGGAAGAAAGTTGGAGTAGCTCCTATTGTAGAAAAGATGGTAGAATCGCGCTTTAGGTGGTTTGGGCATGTGTGGAGGAGACCAGTAAACCCCCCCACAAGGAGAGTAGATCAAATGAAGCTAGTCCAATTCCTAGAGGAAGAGGGAGATCAAGAAAAAACATAAGAGAAATGATTAAGAAAGACATAGAGAGCAATGATTTGTCAATAAACATAATTTATGATAGAGCATTATGACGTCATTCAATCCATATAGCCGACCCACCTAGTGAGATAAATGTATGATTATTGTGAGTTATTTGTATTGATTTTTTAGACCGGAATGAATTCCTTTAAAAATTCTATAGGTGGAAAAATATTAGTTATTTTGCCTTGTTATTGAGTATAACATGTTTGTCATTTAATCCACAGCATATTAAGAATAAGCAAGTAGTTATTAATAAAGTTGAGTTTGATGCAACAGTAAGGTTGTTGCTCAACAATTATGAGGTCAGAGTTCAAATCCTGGAAACAACATCTCAACTTGTAGGGGTAAGGCTACGTATATCTACTCTCTCTAGGCCCTACTAAGTGGGAGCCTCATACATTAGGCATATTCGTCCTTGTTGAATATCAGGGTGCCAATTTTTTGAATGGATTCTCTGCATAATAATCACTGGTTTAGCTTCAACATGCTATTTGACTTGAAGGGTTTCAAAGGAATTTACTTTCCATCCATTCTCAGAAATTCTGAGTTGCATTTTTAATTTCTTAATCATTCTACAGGCAGGAGAAGAACGCTTTTCAGTTGAGATTGATGAGAACAATCAAGTTTGGTATGAAATACTTTCATTTTCAAAGCCTACCCACATTTTATCTTTTGTTGGGTACCCATATGTGATTCTTAGGCAAAAATATTTTGCTCATGAATCTGCCAAGTTAATGCAGAAGCATATAAATTCTTCAAAATCCTAATATATATAAATTGTATTCACCTAAGATTAGAGTTTCTAGCCTCTTTTTTCTCTTTTGCATCATTGATCTTTACATTATTTCATCATTAAACTA